GCCTCCCAGAGTGCTAGGATTACAGGCGTGAGCCACCACACCCGGCCTCTCCCCCCATTTTTAAAAATAGTTTTGCTGTAATTACAAGTCAGAGCATTTAGCCATTACCAGTGATAATACCCTGATGGCCATCAGTTAGTCTTAGTTCTACAGGTAAATACATATTTAATGCTCAGCAACAGTCCTACGTTGAGTCCTTTCTAGTTGTTTTGGTTTTCTGAAGCTCATTCTCTAACAGAGGGTTCAGCAGCCCATGGGCCACACGCGGTATCTGGCCCACCCATGTTTCCGTATCGTTCACGGCTGCGTTCAGCAACACTGCAGCAGCAGCGCGGAGCACTTGTGACAGGGACCATAGGACTGTACAGCCTGAAATATTGACTCTCTGGCCCTTCACAGAAAAAGCTAGCTGACCCCTGCTCTGGAGCCAAGTAGGTCCTCAGGCAGCGTTCACGGTGTTCCCCGAGTGCTTGCACGTTTGTGTTCGTAGTCGTTTGTTTGCAACCTTTATACCTGAAGGTCAGTTTGAATGGGTGTGAAACCCATGGCTCATGTTTGCTTCCCTTGTGTGTATTAATTATTTTAGTCCATTGTTTTCAGGAATAAAGTGTCTCTGTTGAAAAGCCACAATATGTAGTTTCGGGTCATCTTTTGTTTTGGGAACATTTTTTCTTGAATTATAGTTTCTGGTATTTATTGTTTTGTTTCCTCTCTGTACCCTTTATATTATGTTGGATCTTCTTTTAATCTTTTCTATGTATCACTTTATGTCTTTATATCTTTATTATTTCTAAAGTCATCCTTCTTTTTCTCTTATGCATTAGTCATTGTATTTTTCATTCTGAAATAATTTTTCTTTTATATTTAATTCTTTCCTTAGTTCTGTCACCTCTCATTTCAAATCTTCCTTTCTCCAGTCACCTAATTCCTGAGATTTATGTTCTTTCATAGCTTCTATAATTGTCTTAATTTACTTTATGCTATAGCGACGTTATTCTACTCTACATTCTCTGTTTTCTTATAAGAGTTTTAAGTGAGATTCAAGATTCTTTGTTGTTCATTTTTAAGTGCAGAAACTTTCCCTGTGCTCAGTGAGAGGAGTGGGCCAGGATGGCCTTTCCAGCTGCGTCTCTCTACAGCGCCCTCTTCTGTTGTGTTCACAAGGTGATCCTTGAAGTACGGTCTCATACTTTCTAAGGTGTTTCTCTTCTGCTCCCTCTCTCTTATACTTGGAATTTTTCTCGTCTTTGCTTCCGTAGCCCTGTTCTCTTTGCTCTAGTGCCCTGGATTCTACACCTGGTGGTTTTCCCCAGAGCAGCGTTAGTGTTGAGAGAGCGTGTGGTTCAGACTGCTGCAGCACCTATTTGCGTGGCATTGTTCTTGTCCTCAGCCTGAGCATCGGATCCTCAGAGCCCTTCCCAGGTGAGGCTGCTGTTCTCAGACCAGCACGCGACTGACGTTCCACTGGAAGTTGAGGAGTTGTCCTCTTCTCAGGGCCATTAGAGATGTCCAGTGGACTTCCTTCTGCCTCTTCGTGCACAAATGCTAATACCATGTGGGTCTCGTCACTACCCGGTTTGTCACTCTGCTCATATTTTGAGTTTTGAGGGGAAAATTTTTCTGTTTTGTTATAGATTTTGTCTGTGGGGTTTGGGGGTTTTTTTGTTTGGTTGGTTTTTTTTTTTTTTTGCTATGCTAGTTGCTCTGTCTTTTTTTCTGTGAAAGATTTAATTTTTACTGAGCAAACCAACATAATAGTAAAGCTGACTGCACAGTCACGCAATGTCCCATGGCCAGAGCCTCACTCTGACTGGGCCTGTTCTACACCAGGAGCTGCTTTTCAAACAGCAAGTGCTTTTCTACCATGGGATGCACAGCCTCGCTCCAGAACCCTAAGGCTGCATTGCAGTTCTCTTCCTGGCCTTGCCAGAGACACCACACGGCATCCTTGTCTCCCATAAGTACCTCGACCCTGATCAGATATGCTAGGTCACATGGCCTGAGCTGCAGGGCAGCTTACACCACAGCCTGGACCTGCTACAGAGACTTCTGCTGCTCTGGGTCCTACTCAAAACTGTCAGAGCAGAATTCCCAGGTAGAGCAGATGCTCCCTCTAAAAGATGAAGAGTCCTGCCCAGTGCCGTGCCTTAGTGCCAGGAGATGCAAGGTACAACACCCGTCCTTTACTGTAGAGGGGGGATCTCAGCAAGCCTTAAGGCAGTGGTGCTATTAAAACTTTTACACATGGCAGCACCTAAATTTCGGGGCATGCATTTGATTTACTAGGGTATCCAGAATACTTGCCACTGGTGTGGCATTAGTACGATCCATCAATATAGTAGATTAGCATGGTGTTCTGTGGAATACGGAGGCCCCTGTGAACTCTGCGACAGAAAACCAAAAAAATTAACAGCCTCAGGACATGAGAGTAAAGATGGACTGTTGTCCTTCCCACATAAAAGCCAACTGCTTTTGGCCTCCTTACTAGTGAGGACTGAAAAGAACACGTAGGTCAGATCAATAGCCACGTACCAAATGCAAGAGGATTTGTTGGTCCATTCCAGTAGATTCTACATCTTGCACAAGAGCTGAGATTACACCTACCATTTGAGTTTACAGTGGTCCACTGTCATTTACCACAATCCCATCTCACTGTAGGAGACACTCGGATAAACTGAATGAAGATATAGTGGAGAGCACCACTCCTGCATTCTGTAACTTTGATGGCTCATCTCTGCATTGTCTCCTGGTGTGCAGTACTGCTTCTGATTTATTAATATTATTTTGGCCCAGATGTAAGGGGTAAAATTTCAGGGGCTCCCACTTGACCATTCCCACCACGACTCTGAGAACATTATGAAGGTTCTTCCAGCTGCTTTTTCAAGGGTTTTAATGCAATTAACGAAAGCCAGCCAACACTACAATCCTTATAATTGCCATTGTCCCTCTGTTGTTCATTTGCCATCACAACCACGTAAGTCACTGCTTCACCTCTCCATCTGTGTCTCATCCCCACCCACACCTGTAGTCCTTACCGCCATTTTACCAAGGAGTGATTCCATTCCGGAGTCCCGTGCTGTATTTCTGGTCTCTAGGACCAATGTCAGCGTCAATGTCTTAGCCTAGGTTCCCTCCAGAAATCAGAGCCTAAAACAAGGACTCATTGGCAGGTGGTCTGTCTCAAGGTGTGATCCCAGGGAACAGAGTGGGGAAGTGAAACAGGAGGAGGCTCATGCAGTGTCTGTAATTAAGCTGATCAGCACTGGGCACCTGGGGGTGATCTTGCTAGGACCCTCTGAAGAGCCGTGTAAGATACATCGCAGAATCGTCTTCTCAAGGAATTACAGAGGGGAGCTTTTATCCTCCAGCTCCTGTGTTCCTCAAGTCAACAGTGGCCCTTGGGGTGTCTGTCCCTCACACCCCCGGGCTACACATGCTCAAATGCCACACAACAGCATCCAAGAAGCCCAGGGTGGAAGGCAGGAGATAAACGCAGCACAGCTGAGGCAAGAGGCTGTGAGACTGTGGGATTGTGGTCAATGACGGTGGACCACTGTAAACTTAACTCAAGTGGTCGTTATAACCTCAGCTCTTGCACAAGAGCAATGCAAGAGGCTTTGTTGGTCGTTCCAGCATTGGTATGTGGCTACTGATCTCTGGCCTGTGTGGCAATGGCTGGAGTCAAGGTGGGCTGAGAGAACAGGAAGCTGGGCCCTGGGCACAGTGTCATTGTCTTCAGTTTGGGGCCTTAGCTGAAGGTCCGGGAAAGTGGGAGGAATCCCACTTACCACCCCGTTACAGAAGCATGCGTGATCTTCTATACTGGAAATTACCTGTTGTTCCGTAAGTGTGAGATAAAAGTCACCACTGACAGTACTGTTACCCCATTTTATTTGCTGTTTGTGGTGTCATTGCATAAAAGAATCGTTGTTTTGATAATTCCTAACTTCTTAGCCTGTCAGACTTCTGTTTATACTAATAATATTTAATTGATCTAAATTGATGATCTTTTCTCAAACCAAATTCTTAGTAAAGCTTGAAGACATTCATATTTTAAACCAAATGATTTTTAAAATCTGAAATCCACATATAACTTCATTACTAATTTCTTTCATACTCACCTAGTTCCCTTGTAACTCCCTTTTATTGTTTTTAACTTATTACTAGATATTTTGAAACTCTGGTTTCTTAAAAGTTCCATTTTTCAATCAATGCTTCCTTTTTTAGTAAGATTTTAAATTTTATTTTTAACCTGTCTTTAGTGAGATACATATTAGTAGTATGGGTTTGTAATCGTCAACTGTACAGCTTTAAAATGGAACATAGTTTTCTTATGTTAATATTTAGAAAAAGTCCTTAACATATATCTTATGAACTGTGGAATCTTTTTCATAATACTTGTATGAT